AAAAAAAAATCAAGTTTCCATCCTGAATAGATGTCAAAGGATCGTAGATTTGTTTACAGTGATATTGGTTTGAGATAAATTTTTGTATCAAATATAGTTAACGGTACAATGATGTCTTTAATCGAAAATAAAAAACAAACAAAAAGTGATACACTCTTACTTTATGAATATTTTTCCCTACTGTTTTTCTAATCATATACTACTACTTCAAATATTAATGATTTTTACTTCGGTAGACGATTAGTATATCTATTTAAAAGATATTACAAGATAAAAATAAGCTTTTATTTTATTTTATGCGATCTTTATAATATTATCGTTCTTAGAAAACGATTAAATGCAGAGTAGAACAATAGTCTATTTTTTATACAGTATTTCTAAAACATCAACAAAATAAGGATTTATCACAATTCATTTTTTTTTTTTTTTGATCTTACGAGTTAGAGTAAAGACATGATCGCATCATTAATTATTATCAGTAGAAAGATCAAATGAAATTGAGGAGTTTGTCCGAAAATCTAATTCGATTTATCATTTATTTTTCTACTTGATACTATTTTTTATATGAAAATTCTGCCTGACTATATTTTGAGTCTTTTCGCGTCGAATTATCGACTATTCGGAAATAGATTTTCAATAGATTCTGCGCACATATAACAAAAATATGGCTTTTTATTAGTTATGCCACACATTGAGAATAACTATTTGTTTTTGTTCGAAATTGATATTTTATTATGAGCTGGACGTTTTAGAATTCTCCTAACAAGTATCTGTTAAAAATTACATCTGATCTAATTCTTTTTTTTGTAAATGCAACATACATTCAATATTCCAAACAATAAAAACTATGAACAGATAAAATTTAGTAAATAATTAATCAATCACAAGCTAAAAGAAGTGTTTCACTTTTTCACCTACAGACAAGATATTCATCAGAAAAGAAAATGATCAAATTCCGGATTTTTATAAATGTTCTCTGTATTACCGCATGTGTCTTTTATATTTTTAACTATGATGCATTTTTGCAGCCATCAATGAATCATGATCTGACTATTTACATGGAAAACAGTGAAATTTCATAGAATCAAAGGCTGCTATGTTGACGAAATATTTGATGATGATGAAAGTATGAATTTTCATTTTTTGATACGTTGGCATATTTTTTCTTAGACATAAGATTAACGATATGAAACTTTGCATTTAATTCGTAAAGAGCTAGAAACGTTCTATAATAAGGACGATGGAAATAAATCATCCAATTTCTAATCATTTTCATGTAATTAAATTTATTTCAAGTATCAAAAATAGAGTTTGTTTTCTCGTATAGAAATCTTCCTTTTTCTAGAGTATACTTAAGACTGTATGAAAAACAAGAAATCAGATACTCAACAATGAAAATTCGATAACTTTCAAACATATATACTATATCTCTATTAGTCTCGGTTGTTGTGGAGAGATACTGTCCCATGGATATAAGAATGCATGTTAACACGTTAAAGATATGAATAAAGCGCGTGTTCACGACCCTTATTTGATTAATTCATACGGCTTGTCATCTCATTGTTCATCACTTCATCTCTTTACATGCTTATCATTTTCAATACGATGATGACCATTAAATACGTCACATCCGTTTTTTATACGTTATTATTTAAACGTTACTTCATCTTTTTCTGCCTGCTTCATACCCCGTCAATCAATGCCTTCGTTCGGAAAATTTAATATTATAAAGTAGTAATAGTCTCTTCCAATCGATAAAACCCTTGGAATATTATGACAACTATTCTTCTCTAATTCACACTGTTCATTCTATTGTTCAGCTGCTAAGTTTTGATATTTCATAGTTGTTGTAGAAAGACTATAGTTTTAAAATGTTCAAAACGATACTTCATCCATTGAAAAATATCATCTCTTTGGCTCTACTACTGTGAAAAATTTGAAAACATAGTCAATCGAGCTTTCTTTCTTTTAGCACAATTTTGATGAATTTAATTTATGTGACTAGATCATTTTATGCAATAGTATAAAAGACTTACCATGTACTAAACTCGGTGCATACCTTAATTACTTCGCCCAATTTCTTTGAAATTATCGGTCATTATCCAAAATTATAGCGCCATACAACTCTCTTACTATGTATCTTGCATAAGCCGATAATAATGACTCTCTAAACATTATTCTTATTGCACGATATATTATAAACGATATCATAAGCGGCGGAGCAAAGTCAATTTAGGGGAGGCTCAAAAAAATTACAAACGGTGACGAGAGTGCAAAAAGAGGTAGTGGTTAACTTTTAGAATTCTTTAGTTTTTTCTAGCAGCTATTAAAAAATCTCGTTAGCATGACTTTCTCAATACCGCGATTCACAGAGCTTTTATCTTACAGTGCTGAACTGACTACTAGAGATGGATACGGTTCGCACTTTTTTAAAAAGTAGATCGGGTCGGTTCCAAAAAGATGAGAACAGATTCCGTCTAAAGCTGATATTTTGATATGTTCCTTACCTTATTATAAGTTTTGACTCAGTTGAGTTCGAAAAAAAAACACGAACCGATCCAATCTCTGATGACTATCACATCTTAGTCGTTTTTTGACAAACAATACGACTGTTTCAGTTATCAAAAGAGCTAAGAGCTGCTTCACTAAGTTTTCGGTCTGCTGCGCAATAATCAAGATGTAGTTTACTAGAGAGTTATGTACGAAAATACTTGAAGCAAAATTTTTTATCAAACTTAGCTCTGCGATACCGCAAAATTTGTTAATGTTTTGTAAGAAATTAGTTAAAAAAATGGAAAATTACTGAGCTTTGTTCGTAGGCTCACTTTTTATGCTATTGTTTAAGATAAGTGAAGATTCGAGTAAGAATCTATGATAGTGATTATCACTGAAGGTGTCTAAACTTTCAATCTGCTCCTGACAAAATACCGTTATTTAGTCTTTGGTTATAATGCTGAAGGTTGTCTTTAAAAAAACATGAACTGAGATGAGCCTCCCAAGACTTCCAGTCTCCTCAAGTCTAAGTACTTCGTCGTCTATGTCTGACCCTCTCTAAGTCTAATGTCTCCACCGCCTATGAAAGGAACGATTAGTTGAATCATATAAAAACAGAACTTATACCCAGTATTATCATTATCATTGATTGGACAAATATTGTTAGTTGATATAGTTGAAGTTGTTCTTATTTTTGCTATCACTTTACTGCAGTGATACTTCTTTGTCATTAATATGAATGAGACTATCACTTCAGTCTACCTAAAGTAAAATATTTAACGTCAGTCTAAATGCAAAAATCGCGTTTCTCATACTTTATTCCTGGTACTAACTAATTATTTATAATACACTACAGTGCTTTCATGATTACATAAACAGACTTCATGAAAACTTGAAAACAAAATTATTACATAGTGCAGCACATCTCAAAGAAACTGCCATTACATTTATCATGACTTGAAGAGCAATCTCAATATATATGAAAGTCGAATTCCTTATTATCAAATTCTCCTTTTTTCATCTTTAAAAGAATGTAACAAAAACATAATATAATCTCAGGTTCAAAAATCAGATGTAACATCTTGTAACATCCGATGAAATTATACAAAAAAGCGTGTCTAAGAAATCTTACACTAAATCGTACTACTAGATTCATGAACCATCTTACCGTCACGTGAGATTTTCAGTAATCCTGCAGTGATATTTTACACAACAGCAAGATATTTTAAGAATCTTTTAACACGATTTAACCTGAAAGTTCTGCGATCACTATTTTCTGTACGACTTCCATCTGACAATACCAGATCATACAAAATCAGAGGTATAATCTTGTAAGATCTTACGGACATATTATTTGACCTGTAATTGATAAACTCACAATCTCGTCAATCAACCCATACTTGCTAACGGATGCCAAAGGAATCTGATCACTAAAGGCACACGTACAAAAGCATTTCATTTGCTGAAATCTCATTGACTAGAATTCCGACATGTTAAAATCTGATTGGCTGAAAATTTGGCGCGTTCATCTTTTAACATTTTTTTTTTTGACTTTTATAAGCCCATATTTTTTTTTTACTTTTGACCTTGACACAAACACACAAACGCATTTTATTTCATATGACCCTTTCTACAGTCGAGGGAACAAGTCCTCAATATCTGTCCTATGGACCTACATATAAGTAGCGCACCTAATACTGAACCCATCATTGATTAAAGATGAACTCAAAATTGGCTCAAATTTCTTCAACACGATCTGCTCCACATAATACTAATTGTGAAGTAATACCACTCCATTAGATGCGTCATTTATGTCCCGCTAACAAAAGCAGTCTACTCTTAGTTCCAAAGGACAACTCAAGTACACGACTCTTATGTTACCTTTTAAACCAATATTTCGTACCATATTCAACATCAGTTACTGGATAACATACGAGCGACGTCCTTATCGCAGTCTGGCGCCCTGCGCCTAGAAACTCTTGAAAAACTATAAGAAGTAACGCTAGATATCTCTTGAACAGTTAGCAGTACCCCCACGTCCCTCACTGAGATAGACCTTGTAGAGTATCCAGAACTATCGCAAGACAATGTTTGAAAAGCTAACGATACCAAACCTCAATAGCTCTTCATCACTTGTTTGTACTTTCATGAAACGCGCTTGAAGCTTTATGGACACCTCCATAGGATAGGCCTTGAGGACTAATCGGATTCTTCAAGGATGAAGCGGCGGATATTTCGGATTACGAATTCCTAAAAATCTCGGGAGTATAATAAAAATCTTCGGAGTATCAAATCCGTCATTTCCGCTTTGAAAAGTCTCCTTCGTACAACAAAAATCAAATCAATCATAGGATTAATATTTTCTTCCTCTAATTATCTGATAAAATAAAAATGACGTTTTCTCAGTATCATATTTAAATCAATATAGATCTTTACAATGTTTTTATTGTATTGATTTTTGAAAAACAAAACTTTAACAACATTAACATTTTATATTTGTTCATGAATCATGTGTTTTCTTCCTCTATTTCGTCCGGATGCTGTATATAGGAATCTGGTGGAAAATAGTTTTGAATAGCATTGATTGAGTTATACAATGGTTTGGAAGTTCGTAATCTTTCTACTCTAGAACAATTATCTCTTGTTTGATGTTGATCTTGAGCGATTATTGCAAACAATGCATCCGTATGAATGGCAAGTTCGTTTAAACAAGGAAGATAAGTTCGACAAAGGAATTGTTCAGCATAATTCATATGAATATCAAATAGAATCAGTGTAGCTAAATGAATAAACTTAAGATTGTTTGTCGATGTTGTTGTCTTCTCTTGTTGTTCAAGTCTATTAACTACTTCAAGTGTTCTAAGATGAAGTAGAGTTTGAGCAAGACGTTCAAAGAAAACATTTTCGAATGGTTTAATATCATCGAAAAGTAATAATACAGTAACCATTGAGAATGTGTTATTGATATCAAAGAGTGGAAATCGATTAGAAATAAAGTCGAGACGAGTACCAATAAATGGAAGTGAGTAGATTTGACATTGACCATAATTATTATTGAAATAGTCGATTGTACAACCAACAAATCGATATTGTTGTTTCATAAAACTTTGACGAATTGTATCAATTTCAACATGCGCAGCATTTTCTAATATAGAACGGATGTGAAAATTAAATTGATTTAAATGAGGCATGTATGAAATAATGTCATTCTCTAAATCATATCCATTAATAAAATGATTTGGACTAGATTCTCTTAAATCAATAGCTAATAGTAATGTTAAATATTCCACATTCGAGAAACGTTGTAGAAGAGATACAAGACATTCTTTATAGCCAACAAAACTGTAATACATTGTCATTGTCAACTGTTTTAAATTTGGACATAAAATCTAAAACAGTAAATTAAATGAAATTTGAAATAAAGAAATATTACTTACCGATGGTATTTCATAGATAACACGTATTGCGGTACCATCAACATATACAATGTTTACACTGAATGAATACAGTTGTGAACCCAATTGTTTAAGTAAACTGATACAATGTTCAAAATAACATAATGTTATTCGAATATGAGTTAGTTGATGTGAATGAGGAAAAAACAACTCGCGAACATTAAATATTTTTGGTAAGATACAGTCATCATCAAGTTCAAATGATACAATAGAACACATGAGTAGTGAAGAACAGAAACTAGATAAGATTTCACTACGAGGAGTTCCCTCTACTCGAAAAAGTTGAGGTATAATTGAGAGAAGAGGCCAATTCCGGAACATACTGTAAATACCCAAACCTAAAATATGTGTAAATGATATAATATAATATTTTTCAATATAGTTTCGTTGATTTTTCTCATAATATTGAATCAAAAAAGCGATTTTCCTATATTTTCTCAGCTATTATTTTGTAAGACAAGCGTTGGTATCTCATAATAGAAGTCAAACGATATAATAGGTTATCTACTCATTGTTTTGATTTGTTATGAACAATTCTCTATACAAACATAATTCATAAATTTCTTTACCACAAAATGTCCACATGAAATTTTCAAATACGTAACCCTTCAAAGTCGAATGTCTCTTTCAAAGAACATTGAGAAAAACGCTATAAACGACGTAATAAAGCCGTTTATGCGAAAACCAATATTTGTCTGAACTTTGCTGATTTGATAAAGCATACAGTCAAAAAGAAACTCCTCAAAACTTACTGCAGGTTTTGTAAAACTCAAGAATTTTTTAATGTCATTTGTCATTTTGAAAAGTTTGTCTGCTCGTGAATAGAGCGTTAATTTTTTTTTTTTTTTTGAGTGATATCGCTAAGCAGAACGTCAGACTATCTAATAAAACCACCGAATAAAGTTTTAACCGATCCACTGGTATATTATGACAACGTAAAAAAGATGTCTCTTGGAAGGAATATTTGGTCTTAACGGGCTAAAAATCTTAACATTTATCTGCATATCCTAGGCAAGCCTTATATTGGAATATAGAGGGCGTGAACTTTGAAAAAGTACAAACTACTGCGTCAATTCGACTTTTAAGTAATAACAAAATTATACTGAAAAATGTAGCTCCTTAAGACCAAATGTTTCTTCCAACGGACATTTTGTATCTATGCATCTAAGGCAAAAAATCCTTTTCTTTAGTATAATATACTCATACTGACGACTCAGAAGCTCAGTCTCAATAGTTAGTTCTTTCAAATTATCACAGGAACCCCTCTCGGATTTTAAGGGGTAACTAATAAAATTTCACATATTTTCTAAGCACAAAATCAAATTAAGCGGAACTTGAGCAATATCAAAAAAATATATTTATTAATAATTACCTATTGTAAATGGTGTGCCTGTTTTAGGATTTCGCCTACCAAGCATTATTCTTAAATGTGTCAAATTTGGAAGAATTCCATCACAATTTTTTTCAACAAAACTGGCAATCTTGGGAAGATGTTGAATGTGGAGTGTCAACGATTGAATGTTATTGATGATACGAGGCAGCACGTATAAATAAAATCGTTCAAAAAGTGATTCATGAGATGATTGTGGATAATCAAAAGTTAAATCTATTTCTTGGCATTTATCAAGTACCAGTTGCTCCAAACGATTATTACCAATACCAATAATAGAACAAAGTAATAACACATGAGGTTTGACTTTATTCATGATAGCTAAAATCAATTCATCAGGTAGATCAAGCAGATGGACAATGTCTTCTGTAGAAAAAATGAAAAAAACAAATGATCATGTGAAATAACGATTTGTCATACTTGATGAACAATTCATTATTGATATAATGTGGCCGTCTGAAAGGAAAACAGACGTATACAATATATACATATATATATATATATATATACAAAGTTATGCTTGATGAACATTGTGTAAATGATAACCAATCATTGATAATGAATCATTTTAAGAAAAGATGTTTTAGAATTAAGAAATATATAGGTGAACCAATCAGATGAGGCTTTGGACCAGGTGTTTTCATTATGCAATGTAATCTATTGGATTTAAATACATACAACTTTAGAACTGACGAATAATAACATTAGAAATAATATAAATGAGAAAAAAAATCTATCGAAATCAGAAAGATGTTCAAGAATTTGATATATATTATTCGTTGAACGAATAAACATTGGTACATATTGTAATGCTAATTCTATAGAAAGAAACAAGAATAAAAAACAACACCATCTCGAAATCAATACCTGAATAATTTAACATATGATTCTCTGGATCAAGAAATCGTTGTGATACTAATGAATTACAAAGTTTGAATTGTTGAACAAGTATAGCACGATATATCTACACAAAATACATTATTCAAAACAAAGAATTTTTCTTTAAACTCATATTTGAAGATCTTTTTGTCTATCAGTCATAAATGCTGAATTAGTTCTTTCGAGAAGTCATTTCTTTGGTAAATCTTAATCAAAACCATATTCTTTTCAGTCATTTTTTGTGTTATGCTTTGATGGTCTACGGGTCAAGATATGCCTCTATATGAAACCATGGTATAGGATGTATTCAATGAAGAACTTCATTATCTATTGAAATCATTAGTTGGACTTGAATTAGATACTTAATATCATAGAAAATAAATCCGTAGATACACAGTTTTATATCTCCTAGCAGTACTGCATAAGTACTTTCTTTTCCCTAAAGGTTAAAACTGTATCACATTTATTGCTAATATTGTTTATGACAGAAAGATAACATATCACATGTTAGGTGTCGAAGATGCCCTATAAAGAAAAATCTTGTTTTTAAACATGATACATTTGTGGAATTGAATTCAATGATTATGCATCATCATGAGATAGTTTTCTCGTATTTTCCATTTGAGATATTCTTGTACTGTCATATGTGCATGATGAGACTTGTGTGAATGTAATGTTGTATCACTACTAAATCCAACATCAAATGCCGTAAGAGATATAGTACGTGTTCAGGATATTGCATCATGATCGTCCAGAGATGTTTGAACGCTTACATCGCAATATTTTATTGTTCGATGACAATTTGAACAAATGAAATGACTTGAAGGATAACGATGAACAGTATTCAATTTAAATAGAGATTCAGCAAGATGAAAATCATCAGTAATTGTTGAAGTAACAACTGGTGATGGAGAACTAGTTGTATTGTGCAATGGAAGTGGTGTAACAAATATTGGTGGAAAAGTAGGTATTATAACACTATGTTGAGATTACATAAGTTAATTTGTAAGTATTTGAAATACACTATAAAAGTTTTATTTCATATTGTTAATAAAAACGAATAGAAAATTTATCCTTACCGATTCGTTTTTGATTGTTCTTGAATATGTTCTAATGTGGTTGTTGAAATAAATTCATTTGGATGTCGTTGTAAAAGTCTAACAGCTAAATTACAATCATCTTTATATCGTTGATTTTCAATTTTTACATCATCAATTGTATCTTGTAGATGTATTATTTTTTGTTTGACATCAATTAAATCTTGTTCTAAATTCTAATTGATTTTTTTCATTTGAATATGTTTCAACAAGTGAAGGTATTCGTTCCTCTAATATACTATTTTGTAGTTGTCATTGTCCATGAACATCAACTAATTTCCCATAACGTTCACGCATTAATTCAAGTTCACATATAAGTGAACGAATTTGTTCATTATCATTATTACTATTATTATTATCCATCGTTGAATAATAAGATTATTTGTGTATTAGAAATCTATTTCTTTTCATTTTGTTTATAACCGAAATTCATAATGAGCGTAATTAATACAAAGGGCAAGGATCGACAACATCATTTTTTGTCAAAATAGATCATATATTCTGAATCAGCATGAAATTCTGAGTAAACTCAGGTCAATGATTCCGGGAATCGGATCTGTGAATTTTTCTGGTTCCTCTCGGAATCGGACAGAGCCAGCCATCAGATCCGATCACCGGATTTCTACTTCCAATTTCCTTCCATTGTCTAGAGCCTTCCGACCGGAAACGGCCCGCTTTTCTTGACCTACTCAATGAAGTAGTTTTCGCTGTCGAAAAGGACTTTCATTTTTTATTTCTAGAAGACATCAGGATCATCGAGAATTTTTTTGCTTCATACATCAGTCGATGCGGATTTCAAATAGCACATTCAAATCTGAAGACGATGAAATTTTCCTTGAGAAACAAACCGATTTTATTGTAGGCTGCTAAAAGGAGGGTATTTTTGGTGACTGTTGTTAAACGACTTATCTATGTCACTACAAAGTCTAAAAAGTACTCGGTCATGTGCTGAATTGCTGAAGTGAATCAAGATCATATTACTTCGACGCTCTAGTGTCTATCTTAGNTTGGATTTGATGAAGGCATTTGGAAAGCAGCAATGACAAAGAAAACTGGGGGGAAAAAAATTTATGCAGGTTGTACCCATATTAAGAAAGACATGTATCAGAATAGTATCATACCATACTGCAGAACTTTGACAATCTTTCTATTCTATCATCGAGATTGATAGAGTTCAACTGCTCATATGAGGACAACGTATTGATTGAATAGTTTTGTTATGCTTTTTCTTGGGCCACATCCTTACGCTGACAGATAAACGTTAAAAACGTTGTTTTCACATGGTGAGGGAGAAATTAGAAAAAACCAATGCTTTAAAACTCGTTCACTGTCTATCAATGTGTTTTAACTCGTGTAAGGTTGTTGAAAGAATTCTAGCATAGTCGCTGGCTTTAAAGCATTTATATAGCACTCTATCAAAGAATAATACGCTTAAACCAAAGCAAGCAACAATGAATTTTTTAAACCTATGTATTTCCACTTCGATTGGGTCACTCAAAAAAATGCACGTAGGGTATGGGTGTGGGTCTGGGTGTGAGAGCATGTGGGTGTAGGGGCGCGGGTGATTCTGATCCTGTGGGTGCACTAGTATCTTAAGAATTCCCACACACCCTGTGAGAATCCTACATGAATGAATGCATACCATCTGTTAATGCATGTTAACAGAGTTTTTTATAGATGATTTAAGAGTAACGTTTTTCAAAAATGAACAACATAAACATTATTTTATCAATTACAACCTTTATCTACCATTTTCAAGATATAGATAGTTTTTTCATTGCTCCTATTCGTCGTGTTACGTGTGAGCAATATAACTAAATCAAATAATTTTAAGTAATTCGAATATAATGTTCGTTACCATTAGTTACGTAATTACAACTATTTGCATTTTTAATCCTCATTCCATTTGATACCATAAGGCAATAAATTAGTAGTACACGAAATCTTTTAGAAAATAAATCCACTAGGATGAGCAATAGAAATTTAATCAATGAATAATTGAGTATATGAGTGCTATAAAATACACTGAAAATGTATTCAATGATGAATACTAGTTATTTTTTATTACGAGCTTACCGTCAGTACTCCCACAGTTATCAAAAAAAAGAGACTATTACAGTTACATATATCTCTAAATGAATTGACATTTTTAACAAAATTGACATATTTTCTTTTTTTCATTTTATTTATATGTATTTTGTTTAAAAAGTCGAGTGTGAGTGTGGGTATGGGTATAAATAAAGAGGTCTCTTTTGTCGACACCCACACCCTCAAGCAGAAAAAATACATTTCAAATATCTACAAACGTTGTTAGATGTCAATAGCTGATAAAGTGGTTCTATTATTAAATAATACAATCGTTCAAGTGAAATTGTATGAGTTAATTCTTGAATTAATTTTACAATAAAAACTCTATTTGTAACTTCTAAAGTTTGCGTTATGGATGTTTATGATCATTGGTATCTATGTAGGATAAATCAGATTTTTATGATTATTTTTAATAAGCAAAAGGAAAGAAGGAGGAGTTTATAGAAATACTCATTTCTGCTTTAACATTGTAAAAGAAGTCAAAATAATATGCAGTTAATATAAATTTTTTTTTCTCTTCCATAATTGATAGGATGAATCACACTGATGTTTAATAATATTTATGTTGAAGAAGCTGGTTTTTCAAACACCAAGCCACTGTTCATGTTTTATGTGCGCTAGAACGGCCTTTGGCCGGCCTCGCTACTGTCCTTCCAAGTCTTTGGATACAACAGCAGCTATCTCTGTCGTCTTGTTCGAGGGCGGTATCAGCTCAATGAGTACATTGTCAAAACAAGGTGAAAGGTCATTGAGCACATTTTCAAATTGAAAACAGCGCAAAATAAACACATTCAGTAGGGGTCTCTGTGCCGCAGCTGAGGGTGAGGGCAAAAAACTTGATCAGTAGGCAAAAAATTCATGCCTTCTTTCGGGTGAATGTTTTTTCATCGACTGATAGATAAAAATCATGGATTTTTGATTACTTTAAAGGGTGAAAATTCCATTAAACAGATGTAAATCTTTGGTTTCCGTCGAGCTTTTCATTGATTCCAAAGTGAAAAGCGCATCCGTTTCAGGATGAAAAGTTTCTTGATTTCTCGAATTTTCCGACCGAAATCGGCAATATCCTTGCGAAATTTGAAGGAAAAAAGATCGAAATTTTCACACATCCATCATTTGATATCATGTGTATGTTGAAGAAGCTGTCTAGAGAAAGATACAGGGCCAGCATACGTACCCCATTTTGCCTTTTCGTATCTCGGAAAAATTTATATCTCATTGGGATTTTTTAGTTTTTCTTGTCATAAATTGATCTCTTGATTAAAATAAACTATGTTTTTGAATAGAACTTCTGTCATATTTGCACGAAGAATTGTGGTGAAGAATATGATTAATGAGTTGATCACGGAACATAAGCATCCTTTTTATTCATTTAATTTCGCCCTGACCTTTTCTGTTTCGCATATTTATTTTCACTCTCAAAATCAAAACTAAGTTCGATAAGCCACTTGGCTTGTTTCTTTATTTTACTACTTTTTCTATGATGTTTGACAGACACATGTTTATAAAATTAGTCTAAATTTACACTTTTATTCAGTAGACGATATTAATTTTTATGGAGAATTCCCGAAAATTTTTTGAGGTCAAAAAAAGTGTTTCCAAATCTTGTGATTTTTATAGATAAACTAATTTATGCGAAAATAAGTCATCTAAGTTGCTCATTTTATCACCGCTGAAAGCTGTATTAATATGATTTTTTTGAAAAACAACAAGACTTTAACAATTTCAAGAATCGAGCGTTTTCTTAGCTATCAATTTACAGTATGGAAAATCTAAGTCCATGTAAATTTTTCATGTTTTTTTTCATTTTCATCCTTGTTTTTAATCTATCGGATCGACATTCTTTCATCCACCATACATTATTTTTACTGGATGAAAATAGTCACTTAAGCGTGAATTTTATCAAATGCATCAAGTCTCAAGTAGAACCGAAACAAAGTGGTTTTTTTTGGTTAATCAGCACCCACAAACTTGAGTAAAGTGTGTCATTACTTAATAGACAGAAATTTGTTCATGATAACGGCAAACATATTGCTTGTGGCGAGCAACACGAGTTAACGATACATACTGAAGTATTTGACGAGCAGGCATATGTAATATTGTTATATAGTTCCAAAACTGAACCTAGAATAGCAGATTCACAATATCTATTATTATTAGATTTATGATAATCAAAACACGGTGTTGATGATGAACTGTAATGTCATCGTATGACTTATATGAAAATAAGATTAGAGAAATGGTTTCGTTTGTTTAAAAATAACCACTAATTATATACTATAGAATAAAATCTATCCTAAACAAGAGAATCTTTACCACCATAAATACAAATCATGATTAATGTATTTAATAAAATAATGATTGAGTAAGTTTTCTGATTTAATTTTCGTAAACATACTTTAGGTATTTCTGAAATACATAAAAAAAAACAAATGACGTGTTTTATTATTATTTTTTGAAAATAATAAATCGTATAATTTGATAGACTTCTTTTCTATTGAGTTCAATTTTAAGATATTCAACTTGTGGAAATAAGCAAATAATCAATTGAAATATTTCGAATGTACATTTTTCACGAATATCTAAATTTGTATATACAACAATGAAATGATTGTGTAAATTATTAAAAGAAATCTTCTTCAATTATATTAACAAAATTCTTATGAGTTTTAAATTTCTATAAGGTAACAACATTAATGGCTTTAAGGAATTTTTTTAGGATATGTTGGAGCTGTAGTGGAGAGGCTATGGTAAAATTTTCGGTTCGATACCGTGACGTTTGACAGATATATGAATTAACAAGGGTCAAAAATAGCTCATTTTACGTTCAAAATTTCTCGGTCCAGGTTCATGCTATATGTTTAATTTTTTTTTGTTAGAAACAGCATGTCAGCATGCAGGGCACCACAGAGTCGTCTTTTTTAAACTCTCACTTTTTGAGCGGAGAAAGGGGATCACAAGTTCAATGACTCAAAAAACGCGTTAAAAATGGGTGTCTAGTTATATAAGTGTCTGTATATAATTATAATAAAAAACAAACCTTAATTAAAAAAAAAGGACTCTGGTGTTCTGCATCTTGATATGCTGTTTCAAACAAACGAGGGTTACATATATAGATTGAAGATTTTCCGAGAATTCTTGGTTACAAGATTAAAAAAACCATAAACTGACAAACAACGAAAAGCATTTTTTGTTTTGTCCAAGAAAAAACCATATTCTTCAAGTGGAAGATGACAGAAATCATCAAAATTTTTAGCCAAAAAAGGCGTGTTGGA